TCTGCTTCTTACTAAGCCTCATTTTTCTTGACACATTAATAGGGAAACTATTATTTATTTCTCTAATACCCTATTGATAGCCATTTTCAGCTTATTCCTTTTTTATACTATCAATAATTTATATTATCAATAATTTTGAGGTGAATATGGTTGTATATAAGGTTTTCTTATTTTTAAAATTATTTTCCTATATGTATCTCAGATATTAAATTACATATGAATATGTACATTGGCTTGTATATATGACCAACATATGTATTTTTAAAATTTAAACTATTTGGATCTTCCTCCAGCCATATGTGAGAGGTCCCTTTTCAATACACCTTTCCAGCATCTCATATTACAATAAAAATGTGTGCCATTTTAACATAATTTATAATTGAATATTTCCATCCATATGCTAACCTACATTGATACATTATGTGAAATGGGAAATTCCTCAGTATGACTTGGAGAGAGGAGGTTTTGCTGAGAAGATAGAATTTTGTTGAGTCTTAAGGAAGAGGAAGCAGAGAAGAATGTAGAAGTACTCAAGTTGCTTATTGTATAGGGTTCAAGCCTGGAGCGAGGAGACTCAGTAAGGAGAAAGGGCTTGCTCACAATAGTCAGGATGGTCAATGTGAGAGAAGACCAAAAACCTGGGGCAGGGCCAGAGCTGTGGAAATGGAGAGGAGGAGGGGCCACAGTTTATAAGTAGTTAATGGTCAGTCAGATATGAAAGGTAAGGGAGGCTACAAGCTGAACCTAAAGACTTTTTATTAAAGAGTTATAGGTTTACATAAATCACTCTGTTGTTTAACATCTTTTGAGTTTAGTTAATTTAAAATACCTCAATTATGGCAAAGACTATCCCTGTTCACATAGTTCATGTAGGGAGACAATAGTTCTGTCTCTCAGCATTCTTTACCACTCTTCTAGAAAGAGAACCACAACACCTCCACCATACAGCTTTTCCTTTGGAAGAAATGCTGCTTCATTCTCGCCTACCCCAAAGGCACCAGATACAGTCCAGACCAATCAGAGACCCTCATTCTGCTGGCTTCTATGAGATACAAAAGGAGAAGCCCTGGATTTGCCCACATATGTACAAAACTATCTTCCCTTATGCATATACCTTCTAACATTTAATTAGAATACCTGTATATATTCTTTCTTCAGCATAAAAAATTACTAAGAATAATAGAATGGTCTCACATTGAGCATTTATGACTGGTAGTCTTGGACTTGACATGCAATAACAAATTTAATTTTAGTAAGTATTCTTTGAGTTATTCTGTTCCCCATCTAAGAGGCAAGGAGATGGACATTAAGTAACTTTCCAATAGTCACACATAAGCACTGCAGCAGGGATGCTGGGGTAGCCAGAATTAACGAATTCTTGGTAGAGAAAATATGGCATTTTTATTCATTACCTGAAGGAACAAGACCACACTTAAAAATCTCTTTACTTGTACTATATAGAATTTCTTTGGAACAGATTGGCATTATTGAGCTTTGACTGTTTGCTTGATAATTATTTGATAAATTACAAAGATTTGAGATGGGGAGGACTGAAAAGTCCAGCCCTCTTTTTTTTTTCTTTTTTTTTTTTTTTTGTGCAGGAGATTGAACCCAGGGGTGCTTAACTACAGAACCATATCTCCAGCCCTTTTATTTTTTGTTTTGAGACAGAGTTGCAATAAATTGGTTAGGGTCTTGCTAAATTTTGCTGAGGCTGGTTTTGAATTTACAATCCTCCTGCCTCAGACCCCCACCCAGAGTCTATGGGATTACAGGTGTGTACCACAGAGCCTGGACCCAGTCCTCTAATCCCATGTTTTGTTTATTTCTTCCTTGTTTGTCTTTTAATATCTAGGTGCTGAAGCTATCCAGGGGCCCTACCTGGAGTTGCATAATTAGCATAACTAAGACTAATCTATGAGGGAATTATAAGAATTTTGGAAGCTTTCTTCTAGAAACCAAGGACAAAAATGAATTTTTCTTGTTTTTGTTTTTTTTATCATCATACCACAACTATTCTTTTTTTCCTTGGGTTTTTCTTGACAACTTTATCAGAATTTAATTGACCATAAATGTATAGTCAGTTTCTGTTCTCTAAATTTTATTCCATTAGATCTATATGTATATCCTTATACTAGTATCACATTGTTTTGACTACTGTAGCTTTGCTGTAAATTTCAAAGTTGGAAAGGATGCATCCTCTAACTTTATTCTTCTGTTTCAGGATTGTTTTTGCTATTTTAGATTTCTTGCATTTTCATAAATATTTTATGATAAATTTTTTAGTTTCTGCAAAACACACACACACACACACACACATACACACCCTACACAGCTGGGATTTTGATAAGGGATTGTGATGAGTCTGTAGATAAACGGGGGGAAATTTTCATTTTAACATTATTAAGCTTTCTGATCCTTGAATATAGGATTTCTTTTTCATTTTTAAGTTATTCTTTAACATTTTTCAGTGCTGTTTTTAGTTTATAATTTACAAGTCTTCTGTTCCTGTTATTAAATTTGTATCTAAGTGTTATATTCTTTTCCATATTATTGTAGATGGAATTATTTTCTTGACTTCATTTTCAGAATGTTCATTGCTAGTGTATAGAAATGCAGTTGTTATTTGCATATTGATCAAGTACTCTGAACCATACTGAACTTGGTCATTAGTTCTTGCAGTGTTTTGGTGAATATAAAGATTTGTACATAAAAATAATGTTGTCTATAAATAGAGGTTGTTGTATTTCTTCCTTCAAGAATTTTGATGATTTTACTTCCTTTACTTTCCAGTGAACTTGACTGAGACCTCTAAAACAGTGTTGATTAAAAGTGGTTCCAGCAGGCTTCCTTGTCTTGTTCCTGATCTGGGGGAAAGCAATCAGCTTTTCCTATTAAGTGTTATCATTAAGTTTTTCATAATGCATTTTAATAGGTTGAGGAAGTTTCTTACTCTGGCTACTTTTGCCAATCTTTTTTTTTTAAGTTGTAGATGGACACAATGTTTTTATTTTATTTATTTATTTTTATGTGGTGCTGCAGATTGAACCAGGGCCTCGCACGTGCTAGGCGAGCACTTTACCACTGAGCCACAACCCCATCCCTTTGTCAATCATTTTTATGAAGAAAGGTTGTTGGATTTGATCAAATGTTTCTCAGAATCCACTGAGATGATTGTATGAGTGTATCCTTCATTAATATGGTATTGTATTATTTGATATTTAAATATTAAACCAACATTGCATCCCTTGGATAATCCCACTTAGTTATAGGATGTAATTCTTTGTACCCTTTTATGTACCTTAAAACAACTTAGGTACTCCAGAAATCACAAAACCATTGAGGCTCTTTGAAATGAAAAGTCTTATAAAATAATTAAAAGACATACAAGTCACCTGGTCCTAGAGTCCTGTAAATCTGTGTGCAGTTTAGTATGCTAGACAAGTATCTAAGAAGTGGTATTCCATAACCTAAAAGTATAATTTTTCAAGTATTATTTTAAAAATGCTGAACATGGGGCTGGGGATGTGGCTCAAGCGGTAGTGTGCTCGCCTGGCATGCGTGCGGCCCGGGTTCCGTCCTCAGCACCACATACAAACAGAGATGTTGTGTTCGCCAAAAACTAATAATAATAATAATAATAATAAATATTAAAAAATTCTCTCTCTCTCTTTAAAAAAATGCTGAACATGTAATCTGGTTGAGAATATAGGGCCAGCTTAGGGCAAAAAAAAAATGTTTATTATTATTTGTTCAAATTTGAGAAGCCTATTTGATAAATTATTTGTTCAAATTTGAGAAGCCTATTTGATAATTCCAAATACCATTAATAAATGCTTAAACTCTTGAAATCATGGGATCTAGTCTTAGGGGGCAAGCTTGAAAAGTGAAGACTAATGGATGAACTTGGTCTGAAAATAATTATTGTACATTCACAAATAAATAGTAAAATATTAACAAGTTATATATGTTGAAAACATTTTGGATTTTTTGGAGTCACAATAAGCTTAGAGTACTATCATTCCTATTGGAAATAATACACCTTCAGGAGGTTAGATAAATTTTCAAAAACACTTTGCTTTCTTTATGGGACTAATGACTAAGTTCTATTTTCATGACAATGAAATCTACATGTGATGAAAAATGATGGAATATAAAAATGGTGTTTCTGTTTTTATTTTGCTTTTTTTCTAGTGTTGTTTTCAACCTAAAATTATCCAATGAGTTTGAACTGTTTGTTCTTATACCTAGCATCCTAGTACAACTTAACGCCATGCTTTGCTAAATGCAAGTAGATACAAATTTAATAAATTTTAGTGCTCATTAGAATGCTTTCCCTAAAGCTACATATAATTCTGTATTTTAAGAATAATTTCAAGTTGACTGTCATGGACTATGACAATGGTTGTAGTTGACTATCTCAATAAAATTAACCGCAGGATCACCATAGGCTACATACATATGTGTATGATTGCATACATGTATATACACAGAGACATGCACATAACTCAATAATATAAAAAAATTAAATGATTTAATTACTGTGAATTCAGACTATCTAGCTCATATTTTTATATTTCAACCCTCCGTATAGTTTGAAATGTCATTAATAAATGTTTGGTTTTACAACCACAAAAATGGGATTCTAATTAGAATAAGTTATATACTCCATGTATGTATAATATATCAAAATACACTCTACTGTCATGTATATATAGAAAGAACAAATAAAAATATTCAAGAAAATACGTAAATGAATGTTTGGTTTTTTTGTTGTTGTTTGGTTATTCATTCATCAAAAATTAACTGGCACAGTCCTATGAGTGACGCTGTATGGCAATGAATCTAGTCTAATAAACAAACCATTTTGTTGTCAAATTAATATGTCTTCTAAATTTTTGTAGTAAAAGTCTTCTTCAACTCTCTTTGTGATGTTTAATTTTTTCATTGGCAAATTTTGGATTGACTTTAATATCCCTTCTTTTTTTCTTTTTTTTTAGCATTGCAAGAAGTAGATAATACCAAGGACACCAGGAGTGGGAGATATTGGACTGGAAGACTCAACAGGTCAGAAAACTGTCATTTTTATTTGTTAGTTTTTATTTTGGCATAAATTCTACAGTTCTTAAATCTCTTGCAAGTTGTATTTCTTATATGTGCTTACTTGGGACGTCTGGAGTTTGGCAAAATGTGACTCACACTCTTATATCATAAGTCCAGCCTTTGGGTATCCTCTTTTTAGGATTTAAATATGCAAAATTATTTAAATAAACTTTTAAAAATAGGAGAAAACATTTAACCTAATAATATATATAGATATCTTGATTTCTGTTAAACCTTATATAAGCTGTTTTAAATTGAAGACTGATGAATTTCCCATAATCAAATTCTTAAAATATATCAACCATCCATAGTGAGTGATTGCAGTGGGAGGGCAGTGGGTTATAAAACCAAATTTCCTTTTTTTTTAACCTGCTGTATTCTTTGCACTAAGGCTCACCTCGAAAATCTCTTGACACTCTTTGAAGTCCATCTGTTTGCTAACAATAATTTTAGCTGCTGAATGTTGACTGTCATGTATAAAATAAGGCTTACTTAAAATTTGAGACAATTTCTGTATACACAGACCCTGAAGTTGAAGGGTCTCCCAGGAGCAAGTTATTGGGAGAAGATGGCAGCTCTCCTCAGTGAGTGGAGGCCATGTTGCCCTTTGCCCTGGGTGATACCTGGAGTATGTATGATGACTTTTCATTTATCTCCTGGTTCTCTCTGTTGTCTTAAACAGTGATTTCAACTCTCAATACTATTGCCTGGCTACTTACAGAAGACTTGGGGAATCTCTTCCTCTCTGCTATTCTCCAGCATTACCACTTCTGTAACTCCCCAAAGTTTGTCTTAGCTCCTCGACATTCAGGTCTCCTGTATAGAAACTATGTGTAGGTCATACAGTTTTCCTCACACAGAGATCAGTGCCTTTGTCCTTCAGTCTGATTGGATTTCATGTAAATGATTCACTTAAATAGAATGTGGGCTTAAAACTCTTCTGCATGGATGCTCCCCAGCCTTTGTTACTTTTTAGCATTAGTATCAGGGATGAGACACATTTTGTTGGCATGTACCTTGACCGAATATTACCCTTTAGTTAAAGGAAATATAATTTCAAGTATATCTTGATGTACTGCGGATGCTCAAGTCTACTCTTCAAGTAGGTAAGAAGTTTGAAAAAAACTGTGTTCAAAATGATTTTCCCATGCAACTAGGTTTGTAAGTGGGTTTGTGCTGATTCTTGCAGAGTTGAGAACCACTTCTGAGGGATACTTTCATAAAGAGTTTTCTGATAATAAGCATCTCAAATTTTTAAGTTTATAAATATCACTGAACTAAACATTAAAACCAAATAAACTGAAGCCCAAAGTGGTAAGAGTGCTTGGCATTCAGCTGTTATGTAAATATGGCCCTTAGATATAGTTGTTGTTTGAGATTTTCCTGTGGAAGCAAAATGAAGAAGGTGGAGACAAACATCTCATGGATCACTAAAGTCTGAAGAGGTAGAAAGATCCTCAGTTCAGTCCACTTATTCTACACACCTAAATTACCACCCAGTGTCATAGGAAACTCTAGTAACAGCTAAATTGATTCTTGATGTATTGCAGACCAACTATATTATTCTCATGATCATGGAATGCAAACCGTACTGTGTACATTTTGCATGTACATACAAGCACCCTCTGATTTGCCACCTTCATCGATTTATAATTGCATAAAGAATATAATTGATTCTACTGTTTTGCTTTGGATTGTACTGATATTTGAAAAAAATTAAGAGTTTAAATTTTTTTTTTCAAAAGTCATTTCTGGAAAAATTTTCCTAGACAAAAAGATGATTATTCATTCATTCATTTATTCACATAAGGAAAGTTCTACTCTTGTAGGGATTCAATTCCAGTGAAAGAAAGAATAAAGTAAAGATTTTGATATAAATGTCAATGTGGCTAAATACTAAACAAGGAAAATAATGCAGGCTAAATAAGGAACACAGGGAGACTATTTCAGATACACTAAGGAAGGCCTCTTTGATGAATGGGATGAGAGAGGGAGCCTTTTAGATAAAGTGGGGGGGAGATTTAATGAGAGAGCAAATGTGAGGTGTGACTTGCGGTGTTGAAGAAATGGCAAGGAGTCAAGGTTGGAAGAGAGTGAGGAGCAGACAGGTGGGAGATGAACCTGGGGACAGTGATATGCCTCCATGAAGAGGCTGGTAGACCTCAATAGGGTCTTGACTATTATTCTCCCTGAGATGGAACTCTCCCTTAGAATTAAAGGGATTTTAGCAGAGGAGAGGCATGCTAAGTCACATGTCTTAATCATTTTTCTGACCTATTGTTTGTATACAACAGTTTTAAAATTTCTCTTTATAGACAGAACATAAATTATAAATCAAAACATGCTTAAGTTCACAATCAGGGCAACAGTTTCTAATCAAAATATTGACTGATAATTGTGTTCAAGGAACTAATGTTAGATTAGTACAGCCATCTTTTCCTTTCCCATATCCTTAATTTGCAAAACTTTTGAAATTCCTTAGAATTTATTATGTTATTTGGCTTTTTATAATAAGTTATTTCATAATAGGGATATTAATGATAATTATATGTATTTAAAAATTGTGTGCATTTGATGAGTTGCTTTGCTCACCTGAATTTCTCATTTGTTTGCCATTTATAATGTCAACCAAAAGTATATAGCTTGGTGTTAAATCCACAAACTAGTACGGAAATTTATCTTCTATTTGCAAGGGAAGATTTTAAAATTATGTTATATTTTTGTTATCATATGGTCCATAGATTATTTGTTAGGAGGAAACATTGAGTAGTTTAAAAACAACAACAAATAATTTGGTAGGAATTAGAGAGCATGTATTCTGGAAGCAGCTCTGAAACTTTTTAGTTGTGTGACTTAGGCCCTGAGTTTGTTACCAAATGACTGAATATACCAAATGAGCAGTGTTACTCCATCTCTGTATTTCCTTTACATTTGTTAAGCCATTATATCCATAGGTAAGGAATAGAAATTGGTTTTATTATTTTATTATTATTTATAAGGAGTGGTATATATTAGGGGGTAACTGTTTATCATACAAATGATAAAATAAGGGCACTATTTCATAGTCATAGAGGACAATTTCCATGTTTATTTTCAGAAAAAATTATCAGCTTAGAGAAGATATTACTGATAGGAAGAAGAGTTCTCATTTATACCATTATCATTCCTATTGTGTGATGAATCAAAGTAGTAACTGGAATTTGGAATGTGAAAGTTGCTTCTTTAAGCATTCTTGTCTCAGCAGTTTTAAACCACCAAAGAAGTTTTTTTAAAATTGTTTTCAAAAGTTTTAAATCTGTATATTAGAAACTTATTAAAGTTTTAGCTAATTATGTAAATTACTGAAAATTATGCATTTCTATTTCTATAGATTTCTGTTATGGAAAATTATATATTTCATATAGATATATACACATACATACACACACACAAACACACACATTTCTCTGTTTATGAATATTTAGTATCATTTTCCAGAAAATTCTTGTCTATTCTAAATTCTTCCCTTATTGGTCGTAGGAATAAAAATACTTTTAATGTTAAACTGAGAATGTAAAAAATAAATAAATAAAGTGTTTTTTGACATCATCTTTTGGAGAGGTTATGCTGGCCTCTACTTCACACACACTGAAAATTGCCCTTGAGTCTGGAGTGACTCTAGACCCATCTGCCTCAGATCTCCATGCAGATTCTCCATCTCTCATGAGCACCAGTCCTTCCACCCATGCTTAATCCCACTTCTTCAGGTCACTCAGGAAACTCATCCTCCTCTCCAGCTTTTTCAACTTCTCCTTCTTATCTGGGAACTTCAATTTTTAAAATATACTCAACTTCTCCATTTTGAATAACTAAAATCTTTCTTCTAATCTTACTTCTTTCTTCAGTTATGGCTGTTTTCATCTTTTTCTCCTTTTTACTCTTCCTCAACTTATATCAGACCCGATATTGCTCGGGTTATCAGTAACCTCTATCTCCCTAAATCTAATGGTACTTTTTAGTCATTATTTTATTGGGTCCTCAGGGTCCTTCAACTGTATGAATGAATCCCCACCAACTCCACTTTGTTTTGGAAGATTCTGTTCCTTTTGCTTCTCACAGAAAATGAGTGTGTCTTCCTAATATTCTTTCAAATTGTTTTTGCTCATAGGATGTACTAAATAAATTTGGTTTGAAGAGCTGTAACCAAATGATCATAATGTGACATACATTGTCGAAAGGGTATAAAAGGACTGCACAGGTGAAAGTTGAGGAACTCAGGGTTCATAGAAAACAGAAAGTTCCATAGTCATCTAGTGGTTGGATTGAGCCTTTCAGAATGCATATGATTTTGCTCATCAGATGTGTACACTGGGAAGATTGTCAAGTATGAATTTAAGGTTCTAGTTTTTTGAGAGCCTCATTGGGTTTGAGTTAGTTTGGATTCTGTTTACGGTATACAAAAGTGACTGTAAACTGGGCCCAGTTCAGAAAGGATTTTGAATCTCTATGCTAAATGTTTGCCTTAGCTCAACAAGACTTGGAAAGCCACTTAAAATATTTGTTTCGGAAAAAATGAGGTGGTGTTTAGGGCTGTACCTTAAATTAATTACTTAATGTGATGTTAACATGAGGTTGATAAAAGGAGAGAGGCTGTAAGAGGGAGGGTGGACGACTAATCCAATCATAAGCAAATTGGCAAAAAAGTCAGAACTAAAATATTAACATGTGGGATAGATATGAGCAAAATCTGAAGATGGACTCAATAGGATTGATGATGTTAAAGAATGATAAAGAATGATTTTTAATCCCAAGTAACTGAATTAAAGGCTATGCCATTCACAGATAAATAAATTTTTTAAAAAGTAGCATTCATTGATTTATTCAGTTTCAGGCACAGGAATGAACTGTTTTGAGAGTCTTTACATTTGAGGTACCAGTATTAGTATAGTAAGGAAATACTCCAGGTCAGTGTTGCTGGAACCTGG